GTAAGGGTCACCTCTTACCACCCTAGACCCCCTTGCCCTTTCATTTTGGTCTTCCTCCTCTGGCATCTTGCTTTCCTTTCCTCTATTCTTCTCTTCGAATACATTCTTCTTGGTCTTCCTCTTCCGGCAGCAACTAGTTCTTGCTTTCTTTTCCTCTGTTCTTTCCTTCGAATCACTCTAGCATTTTTCTTCTTACAGTGTGTGAGTTAAGCAATGGTAAGTGTTATTTATTTAGTTTTATTATTTTATATTAAATTTAAATATTTGATGTATATTTTATTTTTTTCTAAAATTTAAACTATCAAATATTGTCATTAGTTCATTGGATATTAATTTTATTAGATTGTTGTTTTAGCTAAATTTTTTGGATAGTTATTAGTAATTTTTTTATAATTTCTTAGTGAAATTTCAATAATTAATTTTAAAAAATATAAACAATATATGGTTTGTGATTCATACTTTGCAGTTATATATGGTTAAATTCCATATAATTGCATTTTTTATAATTGTAGAATTGCAAATGCAAGTTTAAAAAAATTAGCTTTTATCATACATATGGAAAAGCTTTGTCAAATTTTTTTAAAATTTATGTCCACTAAAATGCTTAAAATGTAAGAAAACTGTTAGGTAAATTCAAAAAATAAGATAATAAGGGACAAAATTTGGAAAGGAAGTTGGGGAGTTTGGGGGATTTTTACCATGTAAGTAGGACATAATTTTACCAATAAGCTCCACGTTGGCAATGATAACTTACCAACAAGAATGTTGTCCGCAATAACAAGTTACCAACAACATCCTTGTTGGTAAAATGGGGAGAATACTTTCCAACATGAAGTTGGTCGGTAATTTGGGCAAGATTGGAAAATTTTTGCACATTTTGAATTCCCACATGCAAGCCACATAACGATGTGAATTTTGTCGGTAAAATAAACTTCGACAAGACCCACATTGGTAAAATACTCTATATATTACCACAGCACCGTAACCCACTTAGTTCTTCTTTCTTTCTTTCGTTCTTCTTCTTTTTTCTTCTCCTCCCTTCTTTGTTCCTCCTCTTCTCTTCCATTATTCAAATGCTGCTAGATTAATTGTATTATGTTTATAATTACATTATGGAAAATTTTATATTTACACTCATCTATTACACACTCCGTTACACACACTCACTTTCCGCTAACTCCTAAACGACACCCAATCCAACCCCAAAACCTGCAATTGCTCCTAATGAAACCTGCAATTTCATCCTCTCATTTTCTCTCTTTCTATCCCTCCATCAACACTAGATCTAGACATTTTCCCTTCCAATATCTCTCTTTTGCTGGGTTGCTGCTAGGTCATTCACATAAGTAAATTCGTGATGAAGAGGTACCAAAGTGGAGAAATATTTTACCCAAAATCCATGATGTACTTGAAGATGCAGAAAAGAAGCAAGTAAATAACAAGTTGGTAAAGTTATTTCTTACTGATCTTAGAGACTTGGCTTTTGACATGGAGGATATCCTTGATGAACTAAGAAAAGAAGAGAGTTGGAGCTTTTTGGGTGCTGACTTTTTGAGTTTTCCTCCATTCTAGGCTTTGGGAGAAGAAAAAAAAGAGAGTTGGAGTTTTTGGATACTGATTTCGATTTTTGGGTGTTGATTTTTTGAGTTTTCCTCCTCCATTCTAGGATTTGGGAGAAGAAAAAAAGGAGAGCTAGAGGTTTTTGGGTGTTGATTTTTTGAGTTTTCCTCCTTCATTTTGGTTTCCTTTACAGGTTCCCACTTGTTCAACTTCATGCTCTATGCTAGTGAAACTAATGATGATGAAGAAGAGGAAGATAAGGCTACAAATGATTAGGATGAGGATGGAGGTGAGGAGGAAGATGGATCTGGTGAGGACGATGAACAGCAAGGAGAAAGGAAAAGAGAGAGAGAAAGAAAGGGGGCTGGTTGCGTGAGTTTGGAGTTAATAGAAAAAGCAACGGAGAAAACAACAAAGAGTGAGTGTATAACGGAGTGTGATGGATGAGTGTGAAGGAATCATTGTCCTTACATTATATTCATATAATTTTAGGTTTGTATCTTCTCAATTTCCTCTTTTTTTCTCTTCCATTCTTTCTCTTTATTTGATTAAACATTAATTTGTGTTATTAATCAATTTAATTGCAATT